TGGGGACGGTTATGTGCACCAGGTTGTTTAAAAAAAAAAACATACACAGAAATTGTTGCGAGTCAATGCAAATATTAAAGTTTAGATGTTAGATCAATCAAAAATTTTATTTTACATCCCCTTCTTCAATTTGAAAATGATTTTTATGGAGACAGTTATGTGCATTGTGGGTTATTTTTAAAATATATCCATGTGAAATTATTTTGAGCCAATGCAAAATTTGAAATTTTTGGGCATGCGTCACATTCTGTATTTGAAATGTTATGTAGAGCGATGATGGAAAATAAATATCAAAGGGCTCAACAAATCATTAAATGTAAATTCTTTAATTGGCGACAAATACTTGCCACAGATACAACATTATCTTAGATTATATATGCGACTGATAATCACAAATATAACTTGATCTTAAAACCAGAGTGATAAAATTGGTAATCTTAGATAGAGCCTTCTTTGAACAATTGGTCTCACAGAGCTCTGAGGGTGTGCTTGGGGAGCTGTTTTGGATACTTATCATCTCTAATTTGAATATTTTATTTTTTCCATTATTTTTATGGATATATTTTAAGTGCACATAATTGTCTTTATAAAAAAATATTTTTAGATTGAAGAACAAAAAGTAAAATGAAATACTAACTAATCTAACATCTAAACTTTCATATTTGTATTAGCTCACCACAATTTTTTATGGATATTTTTTAAAAAACAACCAACAGTGTACATAATTATCTCCATAAAAAGTATTTTTAGATTGAAGAAAAGTAGGTGGAATGAAATTAATGTTGTGAGAACTTCATGGAAATTTCACATGTATTTACATAACAATTATGTGATGATGGTTTGTTCTTGTTATTTCCATAATTATTTTCATTTCGTGCTTGGCTCTTCATATTGATCGGTTTGTGCACCTAAGTTTTGCATTGAAGGTTTTGAGGTGTGTGACTTTGATGCATTTCATTTTTGAAATGCTATGTAGAATGATGCAAAAAAATAAATGAATAAAGGGCTCAACCTTTCACAGATTGTGACTCATTTATTTATCCCTACCTTTTTGTTACAAATACTACCACATATATTACCCAGTTTTAGATCACATATCTCATTATTTGTCACATATATTATCACATATACTACTTGATCTTGGATCACACATCTCATTATTTGTCACAAATACTACATAGCCTTGAAGCTTAATGATACAATTGGTGATCATGGATGGAGTCTTCTTTGATAAATTGATCTCACTGAGCTCAACTTCAAATATCTTATTCTTTATATTTTTTTAGTTTTTACAATTATTTTTTAAATTGTTTGTTACTCTGAGTGTTTTAATTGCATGATACATCATATGTGTAAACAAGAGGAAAGAGTAATATATGCCATTTGGGATAGGGAGACAACAATTATATTCTGTGATTTATGCTTGAGAGAGAAATTTGACAATAGACCAACCACACACTTCAAAAATGAGGGTTGATAAAACATCACAATAAACTTTCATGAAAAAACGTGTAGATCATATGAAAAAATTTATTTGAAAAATAAATCATATCCACTGAAGAAAGATTGAAAATTGTGGAAGGAGCTGAAGAGAGGGGCTTCTGGATTAGGCTGACACCCTCTTAAAAAAATTGTTGACAATGTTATAGTTACTACCTAATTAAAAAAAAAAAAATAGAATTTTTGGCATTGATTATGAACTGTAGGAGAAGCTCAATATTATGTTCCTTGGTGTTGTGACTATGAGCACCAATATCTGGGCTATAACATAAAACTCCACCCAAATTTTGGATGAGCCCGAATTTTGCTCATTCCAATGAAGTCTAAGAGGAGACACCAGCTGAGGGAGAGCAATTCAAATCTAGTTGGTCTAAGCGTCCTGCACCCTTCACCAAGAAGGATAAAAAGAAAATGAAGATTGTGGTAGCATATTTATTTGAGCAAATATCACAACTCGTTACTACCTGCACCATTGTCACATCTAGTGCTCGCATAGCTCTGCAGGGATTCCTGACTGACAGATGTTGTGAAGCTGTTGGACTCTATTTTAGAGATATTTTATGACAAGACCCTTTATTTATTTGCTATAAAACTTTTTGGAGGATCAAAATAAGCGAGAAGCTTTCTTAAATCTGGTGACCGAACAAAGGATTCCTAACCTTTGATTTTATTTAGAGAACCAACCTAGTTTGTTTGATTTATTTATTCCTATTTGGGATTTCGATTTGTACTAATTTGCATTTTCATGTTGAACACTTTGTTTTTATCACGTTTATTTAAAATTTCAGTATTTGTGTTTGCATTAGTTGCACTATTTTTATTATGCATATTTTCAATTTTTTTTTTCACTCATGATATCACTTACTCTATTTATATGTTTTGAAATGCAAAGAATTGACAGATGGATTTAAGAGATGAAGAGGAAATTATAGAGATACTTGAACAAGCAACAATTCTGACCACAATTGTATGTCTCATTATTGAGTACTATTACGGTCATTTGTGCATGAGACCTTTGTTGTCCTTGTCATCTATGAGTAACATGTGGGTTGGTGAGCTACTCGAAGGTCATCATAGAGGAATTCATAGCATAATTTGGATGTCGAGAACAATTTTTTGTGATTTACTGGATGAATTGTAAACTAATTATGGTTTGAATGGATTGTCGCGCTTCACACCTAGGGAAGTTCTGCCTATCACATTGTATATTATGTCATACAATGAGTTCATTCGTGCTTCTTCTTAGTGATTCCAACAGTCCACAAACGATTATTAAGTATTTCGATGCCAGGGTCAACCCTTAGTGAAATTCTTAACTAACATTGTGAAACTCAAAGACCCTACTTTTATGCAGATCCTTGCCAATACAAGATACATGTCGTACCTCAAAGTATCAACATTTATCTTTTTTTTAAATTACTATTTGACAATAATAATTATAATGCTCCAACGAATTTCTTAAATAGGATTGTATCAGAGTGATTGACGGAACACATATCGATGCGCGTGTTAATAATGATGAGCAGATGACATATATCAGGTAATGTGGAGCTGCTGCAAAGAATATATTAGCAATATTTGATTTCATTATGTGCTTTATATTCATAATGGCTAGATGAAAACATATTGCTTATGATAGCTGCATATTTAGATTTGCAACTCGACGGTGTGAATATAAATTTTCAATGTTGCCACGAGGTTAGTACATTCAAGAATATATATGAAGTGCTTCATTTAAGGATAAATAATAATGATGTTCTTATTCAGAACAATATTACCTGATTAATTCGGGATATCCCATTACAATGAGGTTTCTTGAAGCTATTCCCCAACACGAGGTACAACCTTTCTGATTTTGAGCACAATAATCAAGTGATTAGAAGAAGGAATGAACTCTTCAATAAAAGACACTTGTAATTACGGAGTGTCATCGAGAGAGTATTTGGTGTATGAAAGAAAAAGTGGGTCATGCTCCGTGATGTGTCGACATACTCTTTCAAAAAAAACAGGTGAAGATTATTGTTGCAACACCAGCGCTTCATAACTTTATATAGAGGCATCCATCCCAAGACAATATCGATTTTAAGATCTTAGATAAAGATTTTACCAGCATGGGAAGAATTACAACATCGGGTCGGACATTCATTTTCTGATGAGTATTTTAGTATGACTGAATACAATGCTTATGAGGGAGAATATGTGCAAGAGATGATACAACTAAAAGAAAAGATAACTGATATTTCTGTGAACTCATCAACTGTAATTAATAGCATCACCTACTGATTTCTTATTAACAATTTCTATTTCAACTATACATTGGATTTGTGGATATATATTTTCTAAATCTTCGTAATAATATATATTGTGGCTTTCTTGATGTGTCCTAACAACTTTTTATTTTTTCTTGTAAAACTGCTAATTTTTTAAATTTTTATTGTGCATACCTACTCTTTTTTTTTGTCAATTGAAGCCATAGTGTATCATAATAATATGAAACACGAGTTCAAAAATATCAAGTACTCTGAGAGATCTATCCTGCTATTATGACATGCAATGTGTTGATTACCAATCAGTACGAGAAGACAACTATGGGAGAAAATTTTACTCTTGTTCCAGAAATATGACACCTGAATATTCTAATTATTTTTGTAGGATTGATGATACTGATGACTTCACCCCAGACAACGATCAGGTAAGGAGAGATGCCACTATGAATATGAGATTATCCCAAAAACTTGATCACCATGATATAAAAATTAACATAATTCTAAGCTTGTTGATTATTTTAGTTATCGTCCTTATTGTAGTTATAACATAAAATGACTGCTTCCTTTTTTACATATTATTCAAATATATTACATATACAAGAGTAAAGCCATCTTTCTCATTAGAAACAACTGTAGCACAATGATCTCTCAAACAAACACCTGCATTTCCATCAACAACTTTTTGACAACTTTTGAGAAGCTATTTTGTCAAGAAACAACTTTATGCCTACTTGAAAAGCAAAAGCTGTCCCAAATGTACCTTAAATTCAAGAATCATGCCCCCTACTTTGCCGTAATATCTGAATAGAAATATTATCCAAAACTATAATGCTTGTAATGTTATATTCTTGTTTATTCAAAAACAAATTTATATTTAAAAAGATATTTGGTATTTACATATTAATTTCCCTTCTTTTTTTTTATTTGAACCGTTTGATAACATATTTGACCTTCAACCATATATTATCAAAATAGATATTAAATATTTTTTGTTATTATGTGACAAAAGTTACATAACCACCTAATTCGTATGCATTTACATATCTAACACCTACATTTCCTTTTCGCATTTATACCACGAAATTTTCATTTCACAGCAAAAACATAGACCATGCATACCGAAGTTATCATATATACATACGTGTGTATATATATATATATATATATAAAGATATAAAAGTGGATGTTAGAATTCCTGAATTAGGGACCCAAACATACAAGTATATACAAACATAAAATTGTAAGAAGTAAATCAATGAAAGTAAATGTGGAGAAAAAGAAGAGAACAAAACAATTACTCAGAAAAGTAAGTAGCAGAGTAGAGAAATCAAACGAAGTCCATCTCATTAATATAAACTCCAGCCAGAGTAGTAGTAGCAGCTCCCAACCGTGCAAAGAGACGATTGGAGACTCCAGTTCATCCTCAATGCAGCAGGAAAAGCACCAGTATCCATAGTAAAGAAGGCACAGCTTTGAGGCTTGTTTAGCGCCAAAACAGAGAAAAAATACCAAGGCAGTATTGAGATAGCAGCAGAAAACAAGGACAGAAGCCACCAGCAAGATCCAAAATTCCTAATGTGAGATAGAAGATAAGCTCAGCAACACAAAACCAACAAGCTCACATGGGGCTAGTCCATTAGGAATTATTCTAAGTATAAAAACTGCACAGGTGTTTTGAGATCTATAATTTGCTTTTGTTCAAAAGTTTCCTGTTATGGTTGATTTTGTAGAGACCATAACAATACATTGTACTTTGCTTATACCGGTCTGTTCACTTATGGTGTGTTCAGCAAGTTGGGGAAGATGTGCAATGATTTTATATTAGGATGTAAATCTAAATCATCCTAATATAAAACCATTGCACATCTTGCCCCACTTGCTGAACACACCATAAGTAAAAAGGCTAGCATAAACAAAGTACAATGTCTTGTTAAGGTCTCTACAAAATCAAATATAACAAGAAACTGTTAAAAAAAAACAAATTGTAGATTTCAAAAGACCTCTGCAGTTTTTATACTTTGGAAGAATTCCTAATGGACTAGCCACCCTTCAATATCTCCTACCAGTCCCTCTAATCCCTTCTGTGATGCTGCCTGGAAGGAATTCTCACCTTGGAGGTAAGAGATTTAAAATTGTTAAGGCTGACTGATTCAAAAATGTTTTACTGTTAGCTTCAATAATGCTACTGATTCACCCAGCATCAAAAAGAGGCAAGGCTGGATTTGAAACAGTTTAGTGCTTCTATATAAGGATCCACCTCTGTAGTAACTTCATGCATTCCATCAATATTATTTGTGCTGTAACCAGCATAATTGTTGCCCTCCCCATTATTCTTCAAATGATTTGAGTCAGATATCAAGCCAGAATATTGATCAGTGTATACAGGTGGACATGATAAGTAGGAGTTGGGAAAAGGATATGTGGATTTATCGGCGCCAGCAACTGGTGCTTGAATAGTAGCAGTTTGTTCTGTGGAAAAGGACCAATAAAACCGGGGATCCAAAGCTGGGCTGTTGAAAGAAGGCTTCGGAGCTTCAGTGGAAGTCTTTTTATGAATCTTGTCTGGTGCATTATTGCTGGAAGAAAAATTGCTCAATGACAAGTCATCATCCTTTCCTGCAATGCCATAGAAGATTGTGAAACCTCATAAATATGGAAGAGTTCTACAAAAAGGAAAATTTGAAGAGCTGTGGTCCTCCATTGACTACTGCTGGATTTATAAATCTTATAGTGGAAATAAACAAAGCATAATAATACAAAATAGGTAACTATTTTAAAATAAGTTCACCTGAATTAAGGTATAAAGTAAAAGCAGAGTGCAATAAAATTGCGCAATATTTCACAGAGATTTAACAGCTTGATTGTTGGTGAATATTGATAATGCAATCCAAAGATTGTGACTGTCCATTAAGTACACTAATTGGACTGATGATGATTAAAATTGAGGACAACCAAGCAGTTTGGCAAAGGACCCAACAAATAGATTCAAATTGTGGAAATGAAAAAAATGTAGTCTACCAGAAACAGATTGATCACGAACAAAGTGAAAGACGATTAACATGTGTTTCTCTAGGGAGCAAAAGACAGGATTGGCATAAGCATAGAATGAACAAACATTATCACAATCGTGAGAGAGGAAGGAGTAAAGCAGTTCCTAAACAAGTCAATTGAGTTCAATAGTGGTAGAAGTAATCACATGATATTTGGTTTCTGTGGAGAAGCGGGTGACAAAAACCAATAAAAGGTCTTTTGACAAAAAACCAATGAGTTATCATTGAGATAAAGGCAATCAATATCAGAGTTGAGGATTCAACAATGATAATGTCATTAAAATAAACAAATAAATTATAGACAGATTTACGGAGCATGATGAGAGATATATTAGAGTGAGCATTGGTGAGGCTTTCAAGAAATTACGAAGTTCATTGTAACACACTCATGATGCTTGTAGAAACCCACAAATACTTATGTAAGTGGCACGCATGTCAAGGATAAGCAACATATTCAAACCCAGGTGGTTATATAATATAGGTTTCATCAAAGAGAGCCTCGGAGAAATGCATTGCTAACTTCAAGTTGGCGAATAGGTTCACTGTTGGTAATAGCCAAAGCAAGTAGAAATCAAATAATAGCAAATTTGATTCCAAGGTTGCAGGTCTTGGAGTCATATTTTAGCCATTCATGAATGCCTTTAGCGACAAGTACTCAAGGCATATACCAAGCGAGAATCATCAGAACACGTCTTAATTAGATAAAAATGATATTTTGTTGAGAGAAGGTTATTCCCTCCTTGTTTTATTTGTGAGAAGAGCAATGAAATCATCCACCATTGCCTTAAGAAAAGCAGAAAGTTTTTGGGCTTATTGGAAGGTGGAGGGCTCAATAGGAGCAAAGTTAGTGATATTATGTAGCTTGAGTATTTGTTGGGGTTTTTTAATGCCACAGAGATTACAATTATGTGTGGAAGTTATGAGAAAGGAGTTCGAAGACGGATTTTGTGTATGTGAGGGAGACATGACATTTTCTGGTTATCCAAGGGAACCAAGTGAGGAGAGCAATGATGGAACAATAGGAGTGAATGAGTTGGGACAGAGGGGTGTTGCCGCAGTTGGTAATGCATTGAAGATATGCACTGTTAATATGGTAGGGCTTAGGGGGAGTGAAGTGACAGTGGAAGGGAGATCTATATTTGGATTAACAATAGAGGTTGTGATTGTAATGTGAAAGATGAGCATGTTAAGAGATAAAAAGTCGATCTCTATTTGGGTTACCAAATAGATAGGTGCGGTGGGTAAGGGAATTACCCATAAGGTCATAGCTTGGGATACCAAAGACACCCAAAGGTTCGTAGAAAGTAATACAGTGATGTTTAAAAAAGACAGGTAGACTGGCAATGCAGTGGATGAGGGCATTCTATTGATGAAGTTAGCAAAAATATTAGAAGGTCAGAGTCTAGTACTTGAGAGGGATTGAGAAACGTTATAAAAATGCATAGTTTCAACAATATTTGTGCTCAATGATACTTGGTTAATTGTAGGAGGTGAATTAAGATTTTAAACACTAGTTTGGGAGAAAAAGTGACCAATGCTCCAGAATTCAACACTTCCTTTTTTATAGGTGGTTTCGCTTACGTCATAAAAGTACCTTTGAACTACAGATTTATATCATTTGAATGTGGAAGTAACAACAAATAAATCAATGTATAATCCATTAAGTAGTCCACCAGGATGACAATAACTACAATTGGTGAAAAGGTAATCAGAGTAAAAAAAATCCATCAAATAATTTCACAGTGATTTAGAACACTTAAGAAAGCTGATAAAGACTTGGTCATTGGCAGGGATTTGTAGATCCATGGTAAATCAGACTTTTTGTTTTTCCACAATTTTCCATTTTGTTTAGAGTGTATTGAGCAGTGACAGCAGAAATGTGTCCCTTTAGTTCATTATGATTGGGACTGTCTCAAGTTTGCGTCTGGGATGGCTGTAGTTTGAAAGGGCAAAAGAACAAACCAATCTTGGAAAAACCAAGTTTTGTGTTTAGCATCGTTTGGTGGATGGACAAGTATAGAACCCATCTACAAACTTCATAAGATCACCAAAAAAGTGGAGCATGGTCATTTGAGAGCACTACACAAAGTAGATTCCACTGTTGGATAGCTTGTGGAATCAATGGAGCAGTGCTGAAAGAGATCACTTAACTAGACGTTTAGGAAGAGGCAATGACTGCCACTGAAATAGAGAAAGCGAAGTACCCTCCAAAAATAACTGATGCCAATCACGATCAGGACGGAGAGATGTGAGCAGATTTCTTTGACTTATAACAAGAAATCATAATGATCGAGGAAGTTTGAAGAGGAGAATATAAACAAGGATACTAACATGGTGGAATGATGTGCAAGGGATAACTGAAGATTTGTTAGGTGAGATTGAAGAGGAAGAAAATGTCAGCTAATTGATAAGCTTCACTGGATAGGGATGTTGTCGCAAGGAACTTCATGAGAGGTGATACGCAGTTTGCTCAATGGATAGGAGATGCTGAGACAGAAAGAATATGCTTGTGCAGATGAACAGTTGAGTTCCAGGGAATAACTTTGAAGAAAGTGGAAAGCTTGGGAGAAAGTGCAAAAAAAGATTGGAGCTCCAACACCATGAAGAGTTTTACACAAGGTAAACTGAGAAGCTATGATGCTCCATTGATTATAGCTGGATTACCACTTTACAGTGGAGAAAAATATAGAAGATAAAAAATAGAAAAATATTCTAAAGAAGCTATGCTGAATTTAAGCAAAAGCATAATATTAACAATAAAAATTACATAAATTTTTGGAGAGATTCATGGCTTGAATTTCGGTGTAAATTTATAAATTGTACCTAATTCACTGCGTTCACACTCAAACAGGTTCTTTTTCAACAATGTTGCTCCAGGAAATATCATCAGGTTGATACCACACAGTTTCTTCTTATCATCATCATTGATGTGTTGGAATCCAAAAGTTGATGTCCAAGTCTCTACTAGGCTTGGAATGGCTGATAAAACCAGCATTTCTACCTTCAATGATTTCAGCATCTAAAAAAAAAATGTCAGGTTGCGTAGTTAAACATATGGAATGTTAGCAAGATAAAGCTGAAGAACAAGCCGCACACTGTAACTACCAAATAGCATCAAATTAGTGCTAAGAGTCCTTTTTTGTTCAGACAAAGATAAAAGATGAATGTCATGCAAACCCATAATATAATAAATGAGGAGCCCACACCACAAATCATAAAAAAAATAAAATATAAAAATGTGAACTGATCATGATTGTGCCGTCAGAGATGAAAGATTGTATCACATGGCTCACATGCACACAAAATACTAATAAAATACTAATATGAATTTTATGATCATGTGGCTTTAGATTAAAAACGATGAATGACAAGTGTCTAACACTCCTCATCCTATGTTAATTTGTTCAAATATTCTTAAAATTAAAACCATTGAAACTACTGAACATGATAAACAATATTCATGAACAACAGTTTTGTTGTAATAATAGAGAGTTTATGAACCAAACAATTAAGTGTTGAAGTTGGTTCTCGACTACTTCTCAAAATCAAGCAGTTTCAATCATCATTCATTTGGTTAGATAATACTTGATAATAATTTTGATTGAATTTTCTTGAAATATAAACATACAACCTCTCTTTCACCATGTGCTCTTATTGGTATGTACCTATGAATGCACATGCAGTGGATAGGTGCAAGAAAATGTATGAATGAGCATAAATAGATACATTCACCATGCCAGTAATTAACAAGCAAATTTTTGCCGTTTCCAGTGACAAAAGCTTACATTTTCTGCTTGTATTGTGGTGGAACAAGAAATGCATAGAGAAGGCATACTGTTTGCGTTACATCAACTTCTAAATAAAAAGTGTCCAAGTATATTCTTGTTCGCCAAAACTATTTTAATCTTTGGAAAACATGTCAACAATTAAACATAATTTGTTGATTAAACCAAAGCATTCAATTTTTTTAAGGTTTTTATTATCATAAAACATTTAAAATCAAGAAAAATGGTTTCACGGTGGAATTATTTTATGTCTACTATATTTTGACTCGAATAGTCAGCTACAGGTGAATATAATTTTTATAGTCAGAATACAAATGACATAATATATTAAAAAGTAACGGTGAGTAATAGATATCAACTTTTAAGCTAGTAATGGAAAGACCCCTCATCATAAATATGCAAACAGTTGTGTGACAAAATATTAAATATGTTTTACACCATTAAATAGAAATTGAGAGCAAAGCAAGAACCAGAGCTTGCACCAACCTCTTCAATCACATGCATAAGCCGTCGACACATTCCCGCCTGACGTTGCTCAACGCATGTTGTTATTAGAGGCAGCTCAGCCAAAGTGACTCCATGCACCCTGCATTAATTTGTGTCAAAGTACAATTGATATGGCTGTAGCTTACGGTTACAGGAAAACTGATTAATATGATGAAACCTACCATAGAAACAAAATATGAGCAAAACGAAAACCATAAATGCAATTAAGCCAATTATATTTTATATATTAAGTGTTACAAAATTAAAAAGTAAGTGATGGCTACATTAATAAGATGGAAATGACTATTAAAAAGGATGTGCTAAGCTGAACAAATTAAGTAATGATTAGATCAGAAGAACAGAAAAAACGGCATCCACTACAGATAAGATTGTAGAAGGAACTTAATTGAGTTGAATCCACACAATGAAGGGATTGTTTAAGGTAGAATGTATAAAAATGGTGCTCAAAAGACTTATAAAGAATATATTTAACAGCTCATATAACACTCAACATAAATGAAATGAAGTAGTGCCTTCAGAAGACATTTCTCTCAATGAAAATGTTTTTGTGCAAAATATTTTTAAACATATTATCTAATTAGGATCAAGCTGTTGGCTCTCTCAGGGTTGCTCTGTCATTATCCAAGATTTATGAAAAAACTGAAGCAGATGTTTGCATAAATGTTTGCATAAATGCATAATTTTAGATGCAACCCCAAAATCACATTTCATCCAAACCTATACTCTAGCGATGGACTGTAATGTCACACTGTCATCTTTCTTTGATGGCAGTATTAATGGGCGATGACAACTTTCTTTTTGAGTGAAATCCACTTAAACCATTTTCACTTTTGCACTTTAAATATCGACAATTTGCAATGATCACATCCAATCTCATAAATTCATACCACCTAAGCGCTGGCTTTCTTCTTTGGCAATTTGTTTTACAAGCAGATTGAATGTGGCATTAAAAGATAGATGAGGGTTTAAGAATAAAAAGTGGGAAAAGATTGATGGATTTGTAGATTATTGAAAAGGTTGGGTAGCTGCATGAAGATGGAAGAGGGAATTAGCTTATAGAATGGAGTCCCTATGTCGAATTTTTTTTCCATGGTACAAGGTATGGTTTTTTGCCTGCTCTAAATTTTTTATAAAGTAAATAGTTAAAATAATTTTTGAACTTCTTATTTTGTTATGCTTATTTAAGCACAAACTCATGCTTAATTGACTATTTGTGTTAAACACTAATTATTAAATCATTAGGTTGCATAACATATATTTAAAGGATGATTTGATGGAATGAAAAACATTACTTCACACATATTTCAAAGATCTCTAGAGGCATCTATAGAAGGGGTGATTCATAGGAGAGTGCGGTACTCACAAAAGATAGCCTCAATGTTTAAAATAGGATATCGATACACATTTTCTTAGTTCATCTAAATGCATTGTTGATTAGACAGAGGTCGCAAGTATATTTCTAAAACCATAAGAATTTTTTCAATAGTTTTTTTTTCATGTTGCAAGCTATTCTTAGGTTAGTGTGTATGCATGTGTATATTCACTTCACCATTTTATATACATGAATACTCTTATACGATCAAATTTAAAATATGACAAACAAATCATTAGCATTTTAAATAAAAATATTATCACATGGTGTACATCATTCATATAGAGGTTACAATTTCATTTACAATCTCAAATTAAATCAAATATTTTACACAATCACAATACTTAAAAACATTACACAACTTCAAACATTTTAAGCTTGCACGTGGATATAATGGCTATTAATTGATTAAAAAGCACAAAATTAAACAAATATTACATGCTTGAAGAATCATGGTTCTAAGGAATATACACCTAAATTAAAGATATAAAAAATAAATGCCACACTAACTACCGCCTACCTTCTAGTCAAGGTTGAAAGTCATTTCAATGGATGATAAACGGGATGGGAAGTGATCAATGGTGCTACTCTAGGGAACTACAACATTCCTTTGACCGCTACACACAAGCCTTGTGGCCCTATCCATCACAGTGCACTTCCCTGGCAATAAAATAAAGATATTTAAGAATACATAAAGTTTTGAACTTGCCATTTTGAGAATAGTCAACATGGCTTTGTGAATTAGTTCATGTTGTTATGTATTCATGGCAAAAATTGGGATGCAAAAGGAAGTGATTCTCACTAATCGTTCCTAGAAGGTGAAGATACCTTTGAAGAGAATTATTTCTTTCGTCAAATCATTTCGTACATTGGAACTCATTATAGCTGGTTTTGGACCATTTGAGGTCCTTTTTATTTTGTTTTAATTTGAATTAAAACATATTTAATTGAGATAGTTATTTTTAAATCACTCAAAAACCAATAAATGTTTTGAGTATTTTTAAAAAAGAAGAAAAAATTGCTCAAAATCTACTTTTACATTCATAACATGGGCTTAAATAGGGCATTACAATATTTTGCAAATAAACCCTTTTTTTACCGATAGGACCCTAAATGAGGTCCAATTCTCAACTCCCTCCCTCAAGAAGGGCAAAAGATATCACTAAGCCCATCTTATCACATAACCTACGCAAATCTAATGAACTAAGCCCTTTAGTGAGGCAGCCAACCACTTGCTCTGTAGTGGCTACATGACTTAGCTCCAGTAGACCGTTATTCAGCTTTTCCTTGATGAAGAATCTATCGATCTCCACATGTTTGGTTATATCGTGTTGTGCCGGGTTGTTGGCAATGTTGATTGCTAACTTGTTGTTGCACCACAACTTCATTTGAGATCCTTAGTTCACCTTGAGGTTGACAACAAGGCTCTCAGCCACATCATCTCGTCAACTCCTAAGGGCTTGGCCCTGTACTCTGCCTTTGTTGTTGACCTTGTTACTAAAAACTGTTTCTTGCTCTTCCAAGAGACCAATTTTCCCCTACGAACATGCAGTATCCTGAGAAGGATCTTTTGTCATCTACAACTCAACAAATCAACGTAACAAAAGCCCTCAATATTTACATGCCCATTTTTTTTGAAGATCAACCCCTTCCCTGGAGCACACTTCAAGTACCTCATAATCTTATAACACTGCATCCATATTACCCTTCCTTGGATCATGCATGTAGCAGCTCACCACGCTCACTACAAAAAAGATGTCGGGTTGAGAGTGACAATGATAGATCAACCGACCCATCAATCTTCGGTACCTCTCACGATTAACCAGTTCTCTTGCCTCTGCACTCAGCTTGGCCTTTTGGTCAATTGGAGAAACTGCAGGTTTGCATACCAGAATGCCTATTTCCGTGAGGAGATCTAATACATACTTGCTCTGGGACAAGACCATCTCCTCAATTCCACGGACCGCTTCAATCCCAAGAAAGTATGTGATTTATCCAAGATCCTTCAACTCAAATTCATTGTCCAATCTTACCTTTAGTTGGACAATCTGTGACTTATCATCACTGGTGAAAATGATATCATCAACATTTACAACAAGTATAGTTGTGTGACTTTAATGTTGTAGAAAAGACACCACATACTCTGCATTGATATGATGATATCTAATGTCTATCATAGCCTTTCTAAACATGTCAAAGCAAGCTCGAGGAGACTGATTCAAGTCAATAGTGATTTCTTGAGTCTATACATCTTGCTCACTGTTTGGACTGTACTTCATCATGGTGATATCTCCATATATACCTCTTCTAGTAACTCGCCATGAAGAAATGCAATCATTACATCAAGTTGGTGCAACCTCCACCCACCATTCATTGCCAGAGAATTAAGTATCCTAACCGTGCTTATCTTTGCTACTAGTGCAAAGTTTCTTTATAGTCAATGTCATATGTTTGACTATACTCTTTCTCCACCAGTCGTGCTTTATATCACTCCACATTCCCTTCTGAAGTTTGTTTCATTGTAAAGATCCATTGCACCCAACTGTCTTTTTCCCTATTGGTGGTGACATTATCTCCCATGTTCAATTTTTATCGAGAATCTTAAGCTCCTCATGCACAGTAGATTTCCATTTGAGATCCTCCTTTAGCAACCTGTCAACACTTATAGAGGCAGTGCCCAAGATGCAATGAATGCTCCATGTAAAGGTGATATGTTGAATATGAAAAAAAAAAACAATGTCATGCTCGCACCCAAAACGATCAGGAGGATGTCACACATTGTTGCAAGAGATCCTCCTTAAAATTTGGGGGTTAAGAGAAGAAAGAGTTAGCATATCATCCAGGAGTTCTGAGTCGGAGGTGGATGTTGTAGGTATCTCAAGTGTCGAGGAAAGCCAAGACAAGGGACTAACTGGAACAAGTGGCACTACAGACATCGTTCACTCATTTTGCTTCCTTCTTCGCGTTTACACTCTTACCTCACCTTCAGCATGAATTCCACCACCTCTGGTTCACTCTCATTTTTCAGTTTCTTAACTGATTCATCCCAAATCATATGATAAGATATTGCTCCCACATGTACCACTCTCTTACAATTGCTACTCACCCCTCTTGCCTCATATCTCCAAAATCTAAACAATCACCAAAGAGTGAAGTCACTGCTTGGGTGTATTATGATTCAAATTCTCTAAATGACTCATTTATTTTCACAAAAAGTCTCTTTTCTATCGGCTCCAACGGACATATCCATTATGGGTAGCAGAATAACCTACAAACACAAATTTCATAGCTCTGAGATCCAAGTTCCCTATTGATGACTTGTTATCCTTTACAAAACATACACATCCAAATATCTTCAATGGGAGGATTCCATTATTTCATCTTTCAACATATGACAATGAGGTTTTCAATCCAACACCCTTGAAAGACATCATGTTCATCAATTGAGCAACAACAAAACTGTTTGCCCCCATAAGTGCTTTGAGTTATTTATTGTGATCCTCATGCTTCGTGCTACCACTAGAAAGTGTCTATCTTCCTCCATGCTACTCTATTAATTGTCATGTTGTTCCAGATTTCCCTATTCGTGCTACCTCTGGACATATATTTTGATGTTGTATCCATTGGTTTGACAAGTATTTCCCAAATGCTTTGTTGGTATGTTCTGTCCCATTATCAAACCTCAATACATTTATCTCATGCTAAATCTGGAACACACTCATGTTGGTCTCAATCCCAGCATAAGTTTTGCCCAGATGACCCTCATCACCTTTCAAATATCATCTACTCAAATATCATCTACTGAGGATGCAATGGAACCATCGTGTTGGGTAGCTAAGTGTAGACTAAGGTGTGTGTAGTTCTTCGCTTATCCCCTTAGCACTGTCACTCTTTGGTTCATCCCTGATCAGATATCCCTCTAGTCTCATCCCTACTAGAGCTATATCGACCCGGTGCGACCAAATTTGATATGTGGCCGGTCTATCAAACTTTAAAACCACAAGAGGGAGATCTAGCTTTACTGGGTTGAAACACGTGCTAAAGTAGTGGCTCCCGTCAAGACGCTAGCTCCTTGTATCAGCATGACCAAAACCTTCAGAACTTAAAGATCTAGCTTTCCAAGAAGCTCCAATCATTTGCCTTCTACACTATCTCATTCTCCTGACATCCTCAAACACAAGAATCTAAGTCTAGATCACACAAATTTGATCCTTGGCCTCTGTACACTGCAATCATGTTGTGGTCTTTAGAAGCCACAGTTTGTACAATGTGATCAAGTCGTACTCTCTAGAAGCCGCTATTTGTACGTTGGGATCACGTCGTGATCTTTGAAAGCCGCCATCGTCACTGTGATTCCATATAGCGATCTCGCTTCTCACTGGTTCAGAGTAGGAGCCGTAATCCTGTGTCATGATCATCACCGCGATTCCATGCCTTCACAGTTAGTGCGACTGTATGGAGAGGGTTATCATCCCAGTTAACTCTAACCATGGTTGTAACGTCACGTGATACCATGATCCAGTAGTTTCCATCCTAGTTAGTGTGACTATCATGAGGAAGAAACAAAAGAAGAGGTAACTTGGAGTTCCGAGTCTCTGCACGCCGATCCCAATAGTATAAGTACAAATAAACCCCTAGACTTCTTCAATATTCCCTTTTTACCAATATGACCCTAAATTAGGTTCAATCTCAACAAAAAATAAATTGATTTAAAAAAAAAAAATTTAAACAGATAAAAAATTATATCAACAAAATATATTTTTGAAAGTAAAATTAATAAAAAAAACAAAAGTGATGTCAAATGAGCTCTTAGTGGACAACAGTTCAAGTACAATATTTGTTCTCCTAAGTGCAAGAAGCAGCCTGCTTAGCTTAGTAACCCTATAGCAAGCGCAAAACTTCTGCATCAACCATATTGCCCTGTTAAACCAATTCCATAATCCTAGTCAAGGGGCATTTGACAATTGCAGCACACCAACCATTTCGTAGGGCAAAAATTCTTCCTCCCCGGCGATACTATGCATGTAACAATGGCATGTGATGGCTTGAAAATATCTTGTCAAAAGCTACCAATAATGTATAACACATTTAGTAGAAGCAATCCGAAATTTAAAGTTATCAGGACAATTACAAGAAATTAAGTGAAAGGACCAACTCTAGATTTGAAGTTAATAAAAGTGGATAATGACATATGAAATGGAAATCAAGAACAATATTTTACATTTAGTTTATACCTGATTGAAGCAACAGAAAATAGTTCATCATCCCTCCCCAAGGCCACAGTATAAAATCCTTGACAGTTCACCTGCGATATTTTTGACCTGAAAATGGTGCAACGAAAGAAGTGAATGCAGTGGGAGTTCTATAAACTACATCGCAAGTCAAGTAAAATCGTAGTCAGCAGTAAAGATTAGGGACACTTACATACGTAGCACACAATTCTCATCTATTTACATCTCACACCTAAACTTTCATATTTACACACATCAATCAAATCTTTAATATCACATCAAAAATAGCATTATAATCATTTTTAAAAAGTGAAAGACAAATTTTCATGCATAGTTTAAACAACCAAAGTTCCATGTACGTAAATATAAAAGTTTAGATGTTAAAAATGTAAATACATAAGCATTTCTAGCTACATATGCAAATTTCCCTAAGGATTGTTATTAGCCATGCATGAACTATAACGCAAAAAGATATTGGAAAAACTCACCTCAAGTTGTACAAGATGAGAGAAAGCATATTTTTGCCTGTTCTGGGATCCAACATGGGAAGAAAGCTTTCTTCCATAATGGACAAGGCAACAGCTAACTTTGTGTTGCATTCAGCCATCAAAGCAGTCTTCTGTGTAGAAAGAACTTTTTCATCATCATGAATGCATTTCAAAACAGTCCAGCATAATCCATCATTCAAGCAATTCGTCATTCCTACAAGTGATTGCAGTCCAGTGTAAACCTACATCACACAGAATGTGAAGTTATTGGAATATACAAAAAAAAAAGCAGTAGTTAATTTTAATCAGAATCCGTGAATAACACCCAAAGAATAGAACATAAGAGAGAGAGAGAGAGATGCATGGTGAATGAACAGTAATTTATGCAAAGTGTGTAACCCTTTTTTTCATAAAATTATCCTCTATTAATAGAGAAAGGGGATACAATATGCAAAGTTATATCAATTACGATACTTCGGTTAGGGATATCTAGGTTATTCTAGGCCTTTTAAGTATGTGGGCCCAAATTTTTGTTACATTCTAGTGAGAGTGGCGAGACCTTAATAGGTGTTGCTGGTTGGCTAAGCTAATGAGATCTTGTTAGGCATAACCGGTCAGCAAGGTTCGGTAGGCATTATCGGTTGACTTACCTTATTGGCAAAGGATTGGTAAGATCAAGTTGGTCAGCTATGTCTTAGTGATCGGTTAATGGGACCGACCATCAAGCCCCGATCCCAGATAAGAAATTTTCGTCGACAAAGAAAAGTTAGGATATCAGGCAGATCGTAAATCACCATAATCGTAGGTAGTCACTCTTAGACGAAGAAATCCTGAGGGATGGCTGAGAATTGCCCAAATGATTCTTGATGTTGTTTGAGGAGACCGTTGGGTGTTTCCAATAGAACTGTAGGACCCAAGTGATTATCTTCTTTATTGGGTTGGTTTCATCGTGGGGAATGACTTGAGTCACTCTATGCTTCACTTCCAGTCAAACAGCTCAGGTTCGAGCCATTCGGTTGCCTTAGTTGACCTTAGTCTTAATACCTCCGATCAGACAATTGGATCTTTAAGTCTCCTGCCGGCGGAACTCTCTTTGATATACATAGTCCCGTCTGCATCGCTGTATCTCCTTGAAATTCATGTTAGCATGTTTTCCATTCACATACTTAGTTCCTCTTTTGCTTTTTGGAAGATGTACTGCGACAATATTAAAAGAATTTAATGCAAAAAGTATATTTCATTTATGATAAATTAATGATTCAATAATTGAACTCTCTGAATTTCTATGCCCTACATTTCTATATATAGGGTGTGAGGGATTGATCTCCCTTATCTTCTCCTTTCTCCACCTTGCTTAGGTTGTGTCTAAACTCCATGTGCTACTATGGTGAGCTGAACGTTGTCGGGGTCCAAATCCTATGACAGAGCAACATACCTCAAGGCCTTCAGAGAGATGAAGATGAAATCTCGACAAGAGAGTGAGAACAGGAAGAAGAAAGTTCTTGTGAAGAGGAAAACGCCTAATCCGGAGGATGATGTGAGGTTGTTTGATTTGCTCTGCGGCCGTCACCGAGAAGTAGCTCGAGCAAAGACAGGGGGCCGATCAGGCTATCCGCCTGCCAAACTGCCAGTCTTTCTTTCTACCAAGACTCAAAACCTGCCTACAAATCAGGTCACACAGGGAGTTGCTCGCACTGTGGCACTGCTTGGGGCGCAAGGGACGATCGATGCTTCGCAGTAGACAAAGTTGCAGGACAAATCTGGTGAGGACAAGGGGTCTTTTACAACATCTTATTGGGATTGTATCCTTAGAATGAGGAATTTCGGTGTTGCTTATTTAATTTTCATTCTTTTATGAAATTCTTTTTATTTATATTTTTCTTTGGTAAAGCCCACTTTGTTATAGAGATTAAGGTCATTGATTCTCTTTCAATGAACCTTCGCACGGATCCGATTGTGGCTCCAGTGGCCCTGGACCAAGAATCTACTGGAGGAGGCCGACTGTCGGGCGGTCCTAGCGAAGCCCAAGAAGAAGCAACCAATGTAAGCAAAATCTCCCCTTTGTCGTTGGTGCACCGCCTACATAAGATGGAGGATTCCTTTGCCAGGGTGATAGGACTTCATCAAGCCAAGGAGATACGTGTGCTGCTCGTCTGTGTTGAGAAGATGGATCAGATGGAGGAAGAGATGACTGCCATACGTGAGAAACGACCGCCCTTCATGGGGAAACGGCCGCACTTCGTGCGGAGCTGCTAGCCATTCAAGAGGCATCTTCAATGTCTTGAGTCCAGGCAGAGATGGGTCGGGTAGACAACTTTAAGCTAGGCGTGAGTTTTTATATAAGAGGTTGCTTCAACGAGGGTGTGTCTCAGTTGAAGCGGCCAAAGATTTTCTTGTAAAATATTTCACCTCAACGTAGCTTCTGAGCAATACTTGTAATTTTTATTTTATGAAATAAAATTTAATTTTCTATCTCGAATCATGTGTTGATGTGACCCTTTTGTTAGTACAATTTTGAGAATGGCCAAGGACGCTCTTGTCCCTAGCGCAGCTCATCTTTCCATCCAATCCTATAAATAGGGACAAGAGTTTATTTCCCTCGAGTGATTGTTCCATTTCTTCTTTCCTTTCTTCTTCCAAGCTCCGTTTCTCTGTTTCTTTTTAATGGGCACGATACTGGAAAGCGAGTGGTCAACAATGACTCTGAACTAGGTGGAGGTTCTTTAAGAAAAAAGTGTTTATGAACCGATCGTCGAGCTCTAAGCAGTTGAAAGCTATGACCGAGTGATAAACAAGTTAGGGGAGAATCTTGTGTTATACTGAGACCAGTTTAATAATGGCTCACAACTGCCACTTTATCAAGAACTTCTAGTGATCTTCAACTGATACAGGATGATCCAACACAATTCTTGTCTAACAACAAATGACAAATATGACATATGATCTTCTACCGGTGAATGGAGATCCCTGTCGGCGTTTAAAAAGGGGGGAGTTACGTT